CCCCCCCCCCCCCCCCCCCCCCGCCCGGTCTTCCGTGTAAGGACGCGTGACACGTGTAACAGGCAGCGTACAATACTTTTTCTTGTTTTTGTTTTCCCTTTCTGAAGGTCGACGGCGGTGAGACATCATCAGTGAATCAACCGGCCCTATACCGTCTTCCCCCGAACATAATGCACCCTGAAAATGAACGTATACAAGGACGGCGGTGAGACATCATCAGTGAATTGACCGGCCCTATACCGTCTTCCCCCGAACATAATGCACCCTGAAAATGAACGTATACAAGGTATGTTTCCATCCCGATACAATGAAAATGAGGGTGCGTTGTGTTCGGGGGAAGACGGTAGGCATTTCAGAATTGTAGTATTTCACTCATCGCCTCTTCTAGTGGAGTTCGACTGAGCTGGGCCAGTTCGTTGTCTAATACGTATTTAGCCTGGTCGTCTGATGACAGACATGTGGGGAGTGTGACACGTGTCACGCCGTAGTTGCTTGTGTTTTTTTTGTGATGAAGGTTATTTTTGTACGGATGGATTGCTGCGCCGTCAAAAAAAAAAAAGAGCGCGCCGCGGAACTACCATATCTATCCCCCAGAATAGAACGCGCGATAATCGAAGCTGTCTCTGGTCCGAATAATGCGAGAGATTCACGCTTTGGTGAAGTGTGTTCTATTCGAGGGAGGGAGTAAGATTGCAGCGAGCGACTTGGTGTTTCAGTTCTTTTTTCCATTTTGTGCCCCGTATTCGTAGTGGCGTGGCAATGAATTAAAATGTATTATATATTTTATTATTGTATTTTATGATGAGGGAAAATTTACGAAATAGCCCTGAAAGTTCACGTATTTTTGCTCAAATACCCCTAAAAGCACACACCTGCGCACACAGACACACGCACGCTCGCACACACGCACGCACACACACGCACACAACTGAAAAAATAACTCAACAATATCACCCCAAAAAGCACACACACGCGCACACACACACACACACGCACGCTCACGCGCGCACTCATACACACTCATACACACTCATACACACTCATACACACACACATACACACACATACACACACATACACACATTCACACACATACACACACATACACACCATGCACACGCACACTGAATAAATAACTCGACAAAATTACGCTGCTACAGGGCCGCATTGCCCAGAACAGCTCCGTCCTGCGACGCCAACAAACACATACACACACACACACACAGAGACAAACACACACACACACACACACACACACACACACACACGCACACAGAGATACAGAGACAGACAGACTGTCGGGCTGCAACCTGCTGATGAGTCCGTCAAAGGCTGACAAAAAAAGATTGTAGCGAGCATGAAAACAGAAAACAGAAAACGAAAACAAAAACAAAAAAAAAACACATCCCCTTTTGTCAGGGGTTTGGAACGACAGTTAACTAGGATTGCAGGGTCGGTGTGAGTGAAATCGACCTGGAGCTGGTGGTCTTACTGTAGTAGCACTGGTAGTAGGTTGGCCCTCGCAGAAGTGATATAGACCGCTATTGGTAGTAGCGAAGGGTAGGAAGGATTTTTCTAGGACGGCAACACAAATGACGCCAGATTGATGGTAACGATGATGGCGATGGTGCTTTGGACTCTGATGATTATTAGATTGATGGTAAGGATGATGGCGATGGTGTCTTGGAATCTGATGATAATCGGATTATGATGATTGTAAGGATGATGATGATGGTAAGGATGATGATGATGGTGCAGCTTTGAAATGTGATGATAATAGGGGTGGTACCGGTAGTGACGGAAAATCCCCCCGGGAGGGGGGGGGGGGGGGGGGGGGGGGGGGGGGACTTCTTTTGGGGGGG